GGGCTGCTGCTGAACCCCAAGAGGAAGTTCACTTACGTCGAGATCGGTTTCTTTTCCAGGTGGTGGGCGTCACAGAGCGCAGCGACGCAGAGGATTGTGCGGGCGCTTGTCGCCGAGGGTCGGCTACAGTTCGCCAACGGCGGGTGGTGCATGCACGACGAGGCCAACGCGCACTTTGTCGACATGATCGATCAGACGACGATTGGCCACCGATGGCTGCGGCGGGAGCTGGGCGTTGTGCCCCGCGTGGGGTGGCAGATCGACCCGTTTGGCCACAGCGCCACCCAAGGGGCGATGCTGACGGCCCGCGTAGGGCATGTTGCAACGTTCTTTGCCCGACTGGACTACCGGGAATTTGACTACCGTGCAAGGACGGGGCAGCGACAGTTCTGGTGGCAGCCCAGCCCCTCAATGCCGGAGCTGCGAGCGTTCGCGGAGCTAAACCTCCACGAGACGTATTGCTCGCCAAGGTACTTTACGTGGGATGTTGTGGGTTACTTTCAAAATGCGGAAATGAACACAGATTCAGACACTATTGTCGTCGATAACACTTCCGCGCAGTACAACGTCCCGCTCGTGCTTGAGCGGTTCAAGGCTGAGGTGCGAGCGAATATGGAGCAGACCCGCGGGGAGCATGTGATGTGGACCATGGGCTGTGACTTCAACTATTTGGACAGTGAGCTATGGTTCAGTAACATGGACAAGCTCATTGATATTGTCAACGCCGACGGGGAATATGCTGTGCGCTACTCCACCCCGTACGAGTACGCGGTGGCAAAAATGCAGGAGGAGGATGACGGAGTGGTGTACGGCACCAAGCAAGGGGACTTCTTTCCGTATGCGAACTCCCCACATGAGTTCTGGACTGGCTACTTCTCCTCCCGCCCCACGTTCAAACGCCTTGTGCGACGGCTGAGCAGCTATTGGACCTCCGCACGACAGGTGGAGTTTTTTGCGGGCGTGCCCAGCGGCGAGGTGCCAATGATGAGTGACGCCCTCGCCATTGCACAGCACCACGACGCCGTAACCGGCACTGCGAAGCAGCACGTGGCGTTTGATTACGTGAAGCGCCTCACGGAGGCCTATGAGGACGATCTCCATGGGCGGTTGAGCCGTGCGCTTTCGGCGATGCCCTTCGAGCTTTTCAACGCACAGCATTGCCTCCTGTCGAATGTGTCGGTCTGTCCCGTTACTGCGGACGCGCTTGAGGGCGACGGTGCATCGCTTACGGTGCTCGTGTGGAACCCAAGTGCTCACGCTGTGGAGCGGGCAATTGTGCTTATTCCTGTTCCACGGGCCGATGTGAAGGTGTCGGGCGACGGCGTCTCGCGGTACTCTGCGTTTGCGTCGCCGGTGCAGGTTGGCGACTATTCGAATGAGAACGAGGACTGGCAGCCTTATACATTGGGGGTTGAACTCCGCCTGGAGAGGCTTGCGACGTTGCGTCTTTCCACCCCTTCATCGGCACTTGTTTCCAAGCCGCGGTCTTACCCACATGCCGCTTCCGCGCAGAGGTCGGGAACAGGCGTGGAGATATCAAACTCCTTTCTCGTGCTTTCTTTTGGGGAGAACGGTCTTCTGGAGAACGTCACTGTCCGATCGACCGGACAAACGGTGGCGGTGACGCAGGACTGGTGCTACTACAAGAGCAACATGGGAGATCGCACCAGTATTATTGCTGGCGGTGCCTACCTTATGCGTCCCGTTGCTAACGCCACGTGCGACCCCATAACAACGTCCCCGGTGGAGCTCCGTCTCGTGGATGAGGAGATGGGGGTGGTGGAGCAGCGCTTCGGTGACCTGCTTGTGCAGCGTGTGATGCTCCGTGGGGACGCTGTGGATGTCGAGTTCACCTCTTTTGGCATCCCCATCGACGACGGCTTTGGGCGCGAGCTTGTTGCCCGTTTCCGCACCTCTGTGAGTAACGGAGACGTATTTTACACGGACAGCAACGGACGAGAGATGCAGCGTCGGCGTGTGGACTACCGCAGCGACTACCCCTTCACGCAGACGGAACCCGTGGCGGGCAACTTCTACCCGGTGACGTCGCTGTTTTTCTTCAACGACACGAAAACACAGTTCAGCGTGTTCCCTGATGCTGCGATGGCCGGCGCGAGCCTCCAGAGCGGGGAGGCCCTTTTTGTGGTTGACCGCCGTCTGTTGTTGGACGATGCGAAGGGCGTGGGGGAGGCCTTGAACGAGACGGCGTTTTGTCACGAGCTACGATGATTGCACCATGGCAGAATTGAGTGAGTGCGGCCGCCATTATGGCCCTCCGTTGCGTGTCCGCGGCACGTTGTCGTTTGCGGTCTCGAAAAGTGGCCCAACGGCGATGCGGCGTGTGCGGGAGCAGCAGGACGAGAAGTATTTTGCGCCACTTGTCGTTTATTCCTCCGCTCCCGCGCGTGGCGCTCCCGCGCGTGGCGCTTCCGCGCTGGTGCCGCTCAGCGTGCCGTTGCCGCCCAGCCTGCAGCTCCTTACACTGCAATTACTTAACAAACGGCAGCTGCTCCTGCGCCTTGGGCACCGCTACGCTGTGGACGAGGACCCTGAGCGCTCGTTGCCTGTCGAGGTGGATCTGCCGGGGCTCCTTAGCGGCCTCCCGTGGGTGACTGTCTTGCGCGTCAATGAGGTTTCCCTGACAGCTGCGGAATTGTTGCAGCCTCGTGTCCACAAAGTGACGATACGGCCGATGGATATCCGCACCTTTATCTACCACATACGGTTGTACTGAGAGAAGGGGGATGCATGTATAAAGTTGTTGTTTTTTTTAATTTTATTTATTTTACTTTTGTTTTTATGGGGACGTTGGGGGACGCGGGGGAGCAATTTGCGTGCGCAAGGGTGGTGGGTGAGTGTGAACGCACGGGGAAACATGGCCGAGGAGGGAGAAGAGAAAGTAAGGGCGGTGCTAATA